TCCCTTTTCCCAAATTCTTCAATCTGTTTTATGTAAATGACCGTACGTCTAATAGCATTGTACAAAGGGTCCAACTCATACTATCCCACATGTCAGATATTTACTAATTTGGGTAGCTGGCTTTGTTTATAAAAAAAATATCGCCTCTAAATCGATATATTCCTTTAATTATAATATGGTTTTGATTGGGAAATACACTATTTTGATAATGTAAACCCACGATTGAAAGACAACATTTCTTCATTATCTGAAACACATAGGCTACCTAGTAAAATACAGTTGTCCAGTGATATTTTTCCTCGGTGAACACATAATGAGCCACAACTCTACTCAAACGCAGTCTACTGCTCGATTACCAACACCGTCGACAAGGAATATGGTAAGTCATATATATATAAATGTTCCAGCGACATACATTGACTGGGTTGGTGGCGAAAGCCGTGTTGCCTTTAGGGAGCTAGAGCCGAGGATCTAAGACCTTTATGGCATTTTACATTTTTTCTGAATTGTCTTAGAAACGGAATTTGAATCTCTTAAAATAGGTTACATGTTCTCATGGTTAATACCATAGAACCTGCTATTAAATGCGTGTGTTACGTTATTTTGAAATTACTTTGCGTCTTAAAAAATATTATCCGTGCTATATGATTTCTTATCATGTATCAAAATTATCACAATTAAAAACTGTAACTTAAAATAATCATAATCACGAATAATTCAATCAAATCGTTTTTTATTAGCCATCCATGCAGGCAAACGGGCACAACAAAGTTAAAGCAAAATTGAGAATATATATATTATGAGCTTTAATTTTATACACATTTATAGAAATGTATTTCCTTAACATTCCTTCTTATGTTTTTCGAAAAATTTATAATGATGACTTTTGATGTTGAGTTCATAAAATTTTGAACGAGGTATATTATTACGTTTATTATGATATTTGCAATGAATCATTGAATGAAAATGATGCAAAACGAGCACAATTGAATCATGTAAAGCTCATTTGCGGAAGTCACTGTTTAGAAAGTTAGACAGACTTTCTAGTTTCACATTTGTGTTTTATGTTTTTTATACTTATCAAGCACATACAATCTACAATATGCACCAACAATCTACTATTATGTGCTGGCAACAACAAAATTGGCAACGACCTGTTGCTGAAGCTAGTTCACGGAGAAATACTTGGATTGGTGTTTCTAGCAAATTCATTAAGTATCATGATATGAGCATTATTGATATGTTTATACCAAACTGTATGAAGTTTTCTCTGGAAATCTCCTGATAAAATGTTTGTTAACTGATCTGATTGGTGTATGGTATTGCATTTATCATCACCGCCATACAAAGTGTAAACATATTTTGCGAGTATCAGACTTTCAAAACCTCCAACGCTTTAAACTACTTTATTGGACACGAAATGGACCTATTGATCGTTTTGCCATTTTGTATTCTTTCCTTGTTCTTGTTTTGTATGTGCTATGACGTCATCAAAATTATAAATTGCGCGCCTTGTGGCGGTTTTGCGTTCGCCATCTGGTGGTCAGGCAAAGTTCCATTCCCACACCCATCTTTCCGGATATTTTGTAGACGTATCAGGTTCCGTGTACAAATGCAGAAATATATAAATACAACCAACGCTCCAAGTTCGACCATGTACAAAGTTGCTGAAACAACGTAACCCCAAAATGCAAGTATGTCATTTCTGTTATATTGAATAAATGTAACAATGATATTGACTAGCACTAGCACAATGAGAGGAGTACTAAAGAATGGGTACTCCTGAAGTTAGGACTGATCTTTACCAATGTCGTCTGGTTAGTATTTAATAACGATGAATTTCATATGTACAAATTTTTCATGAAATATACAGTACAACACCGAAAATATAATATTCTTACAGACCAACTCAAATCATACACCCCGACTTCCCAGAAACATTACATATAGCCTACAACAATCCAGCAAATCAAGAATGCCACGATATTGGCGGAGAATTAGCTAATATTTATGGCCAATCCTTCTTGGAAGGAATCACAACGAAGCTAAGAAGCTGTTATATGTGAGTACAAAGTTCGCTACATGATGGAATCAATTGTATCCACCGTGCCTATGCTACCCAGGGACTTGTCCTTTATGACTTTATGTCAATAATCTGGCAACTACGCGAGTACATGTAGCATGCCCCAATTAGCATGTCGTCAATTTTATTTGAATTTTGCTCGCACACAATTGTGCAATATTTTTGTCTTCATGGGATATACATCAGTTTATTAGGGGTTTAGATAAAATAAACAACCTTACCCGAATTGCAGAATATTCACTGAAAGGATCAAATCAAGTATCAAGTACACATTAAGTGCCTGCGAGTATACCGAGATTCCTCAAAAGTTGGGATACAGTTTCTCATTAACTCCTCCGACATGTCTGCCTTTTACTCTACGAAATTCGATTAGATATGGATGGTGTGTATACTACGATGAAGGTGAAAGACATTATATTAACACTTTATGAAGGCGGATATTTGCATCTTAGTATAGTATGACATTCAGGGAAGATGACGTGTAATTTTAAACGCCAATTCATCCCGGTTACATAAATCAACACAAGATTTGAGTGATATTGCATAGACCTGGCGTGAGATTTTTACTCACTTTGATTACGAAATATTTAAGATATTATTTGTTTATATATCCTGTGAGAATTGAATTCCCAAATTAAACATATATAATGGACGATCATCTCTAAGCAAAGTGTGTTATATATGCATACATATACGAAAAAGCGGAAAATATTCAATTTTGAGGTATAAAAGGGGTCTAATTAACATATAGATTGATTATAATTACGAAACAAAAATTGTTTTTAAAATCATTAAGTTCCGAGAGGAAAGCGGGGAAAAGCATCGGAAAAGATTTGAAACTTTGGTTCATGCTTGATTATAGAGCAGGAATCTCTTAAAGTAATCATGTGGTATTTATGATTGTTTTTTAAATCATTTGAATGTAAACCGGATGACGTTAAGTTTTAATTTTACAATCCGAATACTCTTATTCAAATAATATTCTTTCTTAATATGCAAAAATATATATATTATAGTACTTGACAATATTCATGAAATATATAAAGGCGATGTAAATTGTACAAGTGTGGGTCTTTGGATTTACACTAAATAATCTTTGAAGTCTTTGTCCTCTCCTGTTTATGACGGTAAATTTGTTGTTTACGTTATTCAGAATGAGAATAACAGATTTAGTCAGTGAATATTTTATTAACAAGTATTTTTTTCTCCAATCAACAGCAGTGTCTGTCGAAAATCAAAACAAAATTAACATACGATAATTGACCGATTGGGTCAAGGATCAAGATAGTACAAAAACCATCATAAAAAGTTCACGTGACTAATAACAATGAAAGCAATCTTTTTTGTGCTGAAATGAGTTTCACGTCACAGATGGGACCACGAGGCGAAACATATAAACAGATGAATCAAAACGATATTTACTATTGTCCAAATATAAACATATATATCTATAATATTTGTTCCACATATATGAACGTTTATTTAAAATATTTACTTGGAATATTATAACGATTTTTAGACCTTATGGAATCCGTAACGGAACTGGACAAGATAATAGAAATTCAATAGTACGTATATATAACTCTACAGCAGTAGAAAGAAGTCCATCATATTCGTTGTTTTTTTCAATTGCGGCAAGACTTCTCGCTCCAACGTACTATCTACCAATATGTGAAGACTTCTCATATTTCCGAGGCATGTTTTATATTTTCTCAAGGGATATAAAAAGTCGGATTACAAGTCAACTTTATCTATAGGAAACCGACACCTTTGAAATTTTATCCAACTGTGGCGTATAAATTAAATCTAAACATATGCTTCTGATATTTGTTCGTTGACACACAAGTCCGGTTACAACCCGTGCTCATTGATGCATTGTGAAGACATAATTGATGCACCCCTCCCTGCGGTAGCATCCCCTTGTTTGCTGCTTTAATTAAGTAGAAACATTTTAATATTGCATGTTCCCAGTATCAACATTTTTGGCATATATTGCTACTATTATAATTCTCTTCCGAATCTCGAATGACACAACTCACTCAGGGACTCTTCATGTGGATATACTGGTGGTTGCAAAAGTTTGCAAAGTGGTCGTGAATATAGCTAGAATTATTGTACATAATTTTGATTTGCATATTCACTCATCTAATGACATATTTTAATGGGCATTTGTTAACAACTTGAAATACAAAAAGCACTCATGTATAGTAATTCAGAACGAAAGATATCAGCTCTAACTATCACTCACTCACTCTGTACAAAATAATCTATCTATAATCTATGTATTTGAAATTAAAATTAACTCAATTTTCCTTCCAGGTATGGGTACTCCCGTAGTATGTGCAACAAGATGGCGGACACCGGAACGTAGTATGTACATCAGGTTAGGGTTAGGCCATAATGTCAGGTACAAATACTATGGGAGTCACTTGGCTAGTCGCCGAACTCGTAATAGAACTAAAATAAAGAAAATTGGAATGAAATTATGACCCGACCCTAACCTGGTACACATACTATGTTCAGGTGTCCACCATCTTGTTGCACATGATACGGGGGCGCCCAGGTATGTATATCTTATACATCATACTCGCCAGAGTCTGAAAGCTTTGTGTGAGTTCGACCTAAAAATATTGTTTAATTGTCAAGGTTAAAAATAGGAGTCAGTTGTGGACTAGATCATCTTCGAAATCTTATATTCATGACATAAGAATGGAATCTAATCAAAACAACGATACAATTTTTATTACGTGTTGACGTTTTATTTCCGAAGTGACAATTGTCTTGCTTTAATCTGATCAAAGCAACATGAGGTTTGACAATCCAATCAATTCTGCTGTTTGCATAAAGGTGAGAACATCGCCACTAAGACGGTTTGATTAGTAACACATGCGAATAGGTGTCAAGGATCACTCACTATACACACTCAGGTAAAATTTATATCTCATCAAAGATGGACCAATAGTGGAACAACCAATAAAGAATGGAATTCATATAACGCTTATAGTTGGTAATGAGCAGTATTCATATAGACTCATTTTTCGAACTCATTAGCGCAGAAGTTGAGAATGAAAGGTATAGAACACATCACTTCGAATAGCTTAATTCTGGTTAACACTGGCACGCTGCCAGCGTGCAGATGTCGTGGCGCTGATTCAAAATAAAGGACATATGAAGATTTCATATATGCGGTGATGTCTTGGAAATATATAGATGATTTGCTTTTGAAATTTAGTAAAAATTCTACTGTACTGGGAAAGTTCTGGGTTGCATGTGTTTTACTTTTCCGGTGAGTACTTCATTCAAATCTTTTTGTAAATGCATTTGGTCGAACCTCTATTTCGTCGAACCTATATTATTAGTTTATATTTGAGGCGCAAATTTATTTATGACTGTTGGGTCACTGTAACAATAGATACATTGTATTTGAATAAAATGAGTTTATGGTGGTAAAGGATATGGAAATATGGTTAACGGTACTTTATTGAACGTTAGACGTGATTACAATAAATTTACGCCATCTCCGAAAATACATCGCTGGGCATAGTTCATCGCTCTTTTATAAATACCCTCATTAATTCGTAAATATCATTAGAAAAAAAAAAAAAAAATCTCACGTATAATCTTAGTCGAGTAGTCTAGTTCGTTTATAACGACGAATTGAGTTATATGTTCTTTTTTGATTTATCTGAAAAAAAAGATTCTTTGTTAAATAAAAATGGAGCACAATTATACATAATTATATTAGCAAAATTGCTATTTGCATTACCTTTCTTGTATCAATGGTTGATAACTATGATGAAGCATCTGAACATAACTTATTCAAGATTAATCGTTTAATCATAATTCAAAATGAATGTTTCGATATGGAGCATGATTACTATGACCATATCTACAAACAAAAATGTTAAAACGCTAGGTACTGGCTGTGCATATTTGCAAGCTAAATGCTCTCCGGGCGAGGTGCTGCTGAACTCTATGTCATTCCCTCCGTGAGTATTTTGAGAGTAGATATCACAGTATGTTGGTTCTCAAGCTGATGCTGGACTGGGAAGAAAGATTTCAAAAAAATAGCTGTGGTTCACACAGCGTATTGGCAAAGAATTACAGCAACTTACATTCATTTCACAAAAAATGTTATTATTAGAATACATCAAAACAGATTCTCTTAAATTCACCTGAATAAGGAGAGGAGTCCAATGTACTGAAACACCCTTGGCCTATACATTTATTTACTTCTGTGTTGATTCAAATAAATATAGTGTAATTGAGTACGTATTTATACATGCAATGAATATATTTATCGCTTTACTTCATTGTGATTTTCGACAGGTTAATTGTCATCACTGTATTTTCTGAAAGTGTTTGGAGTGACGAACAAAGGGAATTCACCTGTAATACAAAACAGCCGGGCTGTGAAAATGTAAGTGTATATTAATAATACTATAGACAACACGTCGACAACGCTCAAATATATGAACACAAAGACTGTCACTTTCTGCCGTTTGTTGAGCACCAATTCGGAATTGCTGATTTACCGCAAATTAGACAATTTTATTATTGCGTCACCTCGCGGATATTCGTGGGCGAATTCAGTAAGATCCTGGTCGACGCACGGTGCGGGGACTTATGTTATCTATGTATTCGTTCATTGCTCTCCAGACTATAATTCAAAAGTTTTGAAGTAGTTCATCACTTGCGATGCCATCTGATAATCACAATTTGTTTAACTTACGTGTTGAAAAATTTCGTTATAACGTGGTAGTATTTGTATTTCGAGAAATAGAATGATGCGACGGTTTGTTTGATTGTTGACTGGCTTTATTCTGTGCAAATGTACCAGTTTAGAATTGAGAGGATTAGAAAAACTTATTCATACTTTTCCAATTGTTTATAAATTGATAATTTTTTGAATATTTCTCAGATCTGCTTCAACAAATTCACTCCGATATCGAATTCAAGACTATGGGGTCTTCAAACATTAGCAATATCACTACCAGGAGCGCTGTATTTCACCTATGTCGTCCATGCTGTAAGAACTCTAATATGTATATATGTATATAGATACCGCATGGAAAAGCAATGGTAATCAATCACATATATATCAGTGAATACAGTGAATACTAACAATACTAACCTGAAGAACATTTTTGTGTCGTGTTCGGTTGGGTTTAAATTGAGGTGCTTGCAAAATTGTAGAAACCTTTCGATGGCTCAGTTTATTTTTCACACGCAGGAGGAAATCATAAATTACCACAAAAACTGCATTACGTTACTTGATTTTCCATTTATGAGAGCAAACGAGTCTGGAGTTTGGAGTCAAAAGTTCTTGACTAATTTATACCATAGCCATGCGTCATTCACAAATATTTATAAACATTGATATTTCACAATTTTGAAATACCAGTTATTTTCTTTTTGTTGCAGATTGCTCATGAAAAAACAAAGCTGGTGAAGACCACCAAAAAGAAAAAAGAAAATGGCAAAGACGATGTATTTGACGAAGAAGGTTAGAGTATGATATATCCGCGTGAGGTCAACTATAACAAAAATGTTAAAATTCAAAACTTCAACTCTCCGAAATTTTTCGCATGGAATACATATCTATTTCTTATATACAAGAAAAAAATAATGTAGAAATTGGATACCCTGTCCACAGGGACAATTACAATTTGTGAAAATAAAAAAGCACATAAATTCTTGCCATAAAATCAGTTTTAGTGGAATTGTTTGCAATGTCGAATTACGGAAAAATACTTTTAATTATCATATACTTTAACTTACCCTAAATTAACATTTGAATTTTCGATTATTTGGTGACTTGTATATTGATATGATTTTCGGTTTTTTTTTTTCGTAGAAAAAATGTCTAAAATGGTGGTTAAACATTTATCACTTACAACTATAAATTTCAGAATTTGAGTGCATGCCAAAACGGAAAAGATCTCTACGAAAACTCCGAGACAAAGTTATTCCGTCGGAATTACAGGAAAGACGACCAAGTCAACGAATTTGGCGTTTATATATCATCCAAATTGTATTTCGAATGTTGCTCGAGTGCACTTTCGTAATTTTGCAGCTCAATCTTTACCATTATAGGTGAGATGATAACATTCTTTAAATCATTTCACATGCTGTTATTTTTTATTATGTTATTAAATTGACTTAACTGTTGTATAACGGCTGCAGCACTAATTACACAATCAGGGACGTTCGCGTCTTGACAAGATCGAAATATTCGTCGTACAAGCGATTTATTTTTATTGGCGCCGTTCTATCTATAAGTTCCCATTCCACAATTTTCAAACCTAGTGTTTAAAAGTTCTCTTTTGTCGAATATTTAAGTATTAGAATTGTTGTTAAAATGATTCATTTGCAGTCAAATACGACCATATAGTCAAAATGGTCAGGAGTCAACGACTAGGTTACGGTTGCCGGTTTACTAACCGTGTTCACTGTCTACAATCATGTCAGCTACATGTGTTCCCACCCTAGGTTGGATTGCCCGGTGTGATAGCCTTGAAATAGCCATTGCCAAACCAAAGGTATCAGGCTGACTGTATCGAATCTAATTGGGTCCTAGTCTCCCCAAATTCAGGTAACTTTCTACGATTAAGTGAACTTAGCAATGTGCAATCAAGATTTTTAATATATTTTATAATGTATCACCATCTTTGATTGTCTGCACTGGTACATAGCGATACAAAGCTATTGAAAATGTAAAATTTTGTTGTTTAGGTGGAGAGTTCCTGAAGTATTCAGTTGCAGTGAATGGCCGTGTCCTCACACTGTCGATTGTTTCATCAGCAGACCACAGGAAAAAACAGTTCTTCTTACGTATATGTACGTGACATCTGCTCTCTCGCTCGGAATAAGTTTACTTGAATTATGGTATATTATATGGGTCTGTGGATGGTGAGTAAAATGTTGTTTGAAAATTGCTACATATGTAACTAGTGTCTTCTTACCTTCTTATTTGCTCAACTAATATGCCTATGCGTTTTGGGACATATTTTCAATATCACAGAAATTTACACAAAACTTGGAAATAACTTCTTACTATGAGTATTATTTACTCATAGAATAATGAACAACGCGATAAAATGATCTAAAGTTTATAGAACCGAAAACGAATTGCAGGAAGAAAGTATCCCAATTCAAATTATCTAATTTGAGGTTACTACCAATTAGTTGTTTTTCTGAACGCATTAGAAGAAGATCGCGAGGAATACTATGAAAAAAAAGTATCCCAATTCAAATTATCTAATTTGAGAAAACCCCAACGAACGATTTTACTTTCTGACAAGTCACCGACCGAATTAGCCCTTTCTTCTTTCACTTTGGGTTCTTCCGTCCTTAATCAGAGCATATATTTTTGAATAAAAAATGATTTTGTTGGGTGAAGCATCTGTCTCAAATACGGCTCAATATCGAGATTAGAAAATGTTTACCTAAAACAAGAGAGTATATTGACACGAAAGCCTAAACGAAGTAGTATGGTATGCAATCTGTCACAATAGACTTTTCGGTACAGCAGTGTTCACGACTAACGCGATCGCGGAACCGTCACAAGGTTAACAATTTTAGATGACTTCATCGCACAAAAATAAAACAATTGAGCAATAATCTGTAATTTCAGGAAAACATGGGAAAGTAGATACGCAATTACAAGAACATTCCCAGAAAGAGAACGTCCTTATGAACGTGAGCGAATCCCATCGTTTGATGGAGAAATAGGAAGTCCAAGAGCAAGTACAAGAAGAGCTCGGGCCACTGTCAGCTACCTGTGATAAAACTATCCTATATTATTACAATATATACGGCTGGATTAAATGTTTTTTCGTTTGTCAAAAGTATCGATTCATAACATTCTTTACCTGCTTGAGTCGACCGCCAGCGTCTCGGAAGGAGCAGAACTCCTTTGCTTCACTTCGACATTGAAGCGTGTTTTATCTGATATACATTCAGGAATCCAAAATGGCCAAGGACAAGCTTCAACATCTTACGCGATATGGAAGAACTGTATATTTAGTTTCTGAACAAAATTATTGGTATCCATGATAAAATGTCGGAATTCACGTAACCTGCATTTTATTTAGGTTATTTCATTTTTTAAACCGTTATTTTTGTGTAAAAAATTATTCCTTTCTACTCTCTTCATATGGCTTGGTAATATTTTTATTTCGTTTTACTTCATACCAAGATTTTGTGACAAAATATTTGTAATCTATTTTACTTTCATTGATTTTCAACGATTATTAAAATTATTTATTTGTGCGAAATTTTTTCCTAAACTTAGAATATTTCAAATGGGAAAAGAAAAATATTTTCCTAATTTAATTATACTTTTTTTGTGACCAGAAAAAGCTGGAAAATGATGCTTGAAGTAGTTTTTTCATTTTCGGGTTGAGTGTTATCTTTAGACAGAAACAAGTTTCGCAACTTGGCCACTCGTCAGGAATTTGAGATGCCATGTTTTATTACTTTGAGAAAGTCTATATTTAATTCAATGCGGTCGGACGCCGTGTTTTAGTACCAGTTCTCGATGGAATTGAGATTGACTAAACAATCCTATTCCATCAAAAAGTGTCAATCTCGTTTGTCTTGTATTTTCCTCTACCGTGCGCTGCGCCGCCATTCATTTCTCCAAATTGTCATTCTACAGGAAGCTTAACGTGCCCAAAAAGTTATGTATCTCCACAATCGAATGGTGAAAACAAAGTACGACATCCTATATTTACATTGTATGATAAAATTCAACTTCATTTGAAAGTATCTGTAATACTTGTTTGTAAAGCATGATGAATTATCATTGTATTAGATTAACTTCAGAACAAAATATTTTTTCATCTTTTTTTGATATATAAAAATAGACTATGATCTATGAAAGTTTCAAAATTTTTAATTTCAAGTAGTTCTTTTGTTGAGAAAACTTGATTGAAAACACAACTTATTTACCATGAAGTTAGATAAAAGAGCACCCAATATCTTCATTTATGAAGAAAGAGATGTATTTCTTTACATATTATAGATAATAGTTGAAATAAATTCCTAAACTTTTTGAACCCGCCGTTCATCTACCAAACAAAAAACGAATATCACTCATTCAACGTAACTGTTCCTATATACAAATAAGCTTCATCGTTCTATTGATTTATTCCATTGATCGCGGCTTAGAACTGAAAAGGACTTAGTAACAATCTTTAAATACAATTTGTTTACGTAAGGTGACGTTTATTTCTTTCTCTGTTTTGTCTGGGCTCTAGCTATAGACTGTAAACAAAGAATAGCTGCGTGTTATTGTAACGTTAAACGTGTCCCAATGCTTCATGGTAAACGAGAAAAATACACCTAGTGCGGTGCGTTACTTAATTATACATAATGTACTTTAATATATATGTCTATATGTAGTATTTAATGTGGTGACATAAATTCGGTAGAACAGCACAAAATTCTATTCTAAATGATAATACTGCAAGAGTTAGAAAAAATTTATTACTATTGTTAAATTGTTTATTTAGTAATCAATTATTCATTTCTGTATTTGATCTAAATTTGTAAAAAGTAATTCACTAATGCCATAACATTTTTTTCTAAACGTCCTAAGAATAATATCGTATAATTGGACACACGTCTTTCATATAATTTTTAATGTTTTTCCGATAGATAAATTTTACAATCCAATTTGACCGACCACACGCCAATGTGGCGCATTGAATTGACTGTTTAATTTTTATCATAAATTATAATTAATTGATATTTTTTTCATAAATCTTTCAGAAGGGTTGCCTAGCTTCTTTGTGCCGACACTCACAATTTACAATACACAATTTTTATTTTTATCTTCTTCCATTTTTAATATGATATATGATTTATTTATATGGAGCCAAGGCATATTTAATTACATCAGGACACTTTTGACGTGATTAAAAAACTTCTATTTTTGAAATTTAAGGTCAAGCATTATACACCTATGAATTATAAGCAGCAAAGAAATGTTTTGTCTACGTTATTTAAAATTCATAATAGATCAATACTCGGTTCATGCCTGCCTCAAAAAAATAATACTTTTGTGTAAACGTCGCCGTATTACCCGTACAATTCGGAGAATTCGACTGGAACAGTACTAACAACAGTAGTTTTGTATATGAAGTAACTCGTGAGATTAAAATCTGGCTATGGTGTACTGTACATTATAGATATTTACAACATTGATGTATGGCAAGAAACAACCGTTTAGAAACAAAGAAAATGAGAATTGCGGGAATTTTTCGCGTAGGCACAAAATTGAGCTAGTAATAAAGCAAAACAACTGAGCATTCATAGAAAATTTCCACCGACAATAATGACTGATATAATATTTGTGGTATTTTGACAACTAAAATTTAGCTTTGTATTTGTGCTTCAACAGCGTCTAGTTGTTTTTGTTTCATATCTTACAATTTTATAGATATTGAGAAAAAGGGCAACTGAAGGCATTGAATGAAATTTAGATGATAAAATCCCGCAATTTTGTCCGAATTTATTACGGATTATTGTATCCTGTTACGACAACTTAGTTAAAACCAGCGATCTACCCAGGAAAAGAATATTTTCATTAATTAACTCTGGCTGAAGTGTGGTATCTGTAGGTGACTGACTACTGTTTATGAGCTTCACGTACTGAACGAAATTTCACGGTCCACAGTCAAAAAAAAAATCGGCTTTTCAAGTGGCACGCGAGCAGATTTGAATTATTGCAACAATTAACCTTTCAGTTGGCTAAAATATGCCGGCAACGCATTATCTTACTTATACTGTATGTATTCGCTGAACAGCGTTTATGGATGTTTCCCCAAGCATCAGTTTCCTTGTTTATTTCCGTAACTATAACCAATCAGCAATAAGTCAATAATGACCCAACACGTATAACAATTGCAATTTCTGTACTCAGCCGCTCAGACACGTGTGTCGCTCAAACAGATATTCAAGCATGGTTGCAAACTTTGCCTCGTTTTTGTAGTTTTGAGTGATATTTGTCAGTTTTCAGTTGTGTTTTAGGAAAATAATAGTGAATTAATTATCTCAATTGTCATTATGTCCTCCCCGGAGCTTTACTTTAGTTGCAGTGATCGAAATTGAATCTCGCAAATGCTGCGATGGACAAGGCTAAACTTAGCTATATCAGTACCTGCAAACGGCACATGGTTTATTAATTTTAATAAAAATTATGATTTCAAACACGTAAACCAGTTTATATGCGTCAACACACTAAAACACTTTCAGAATAAGCATCAAGTTTGCAATAGTAAAGTATAAGAGTAATTTTTCCGGGGTCAATGGTCGTGGAAACGTCCATAGCGCTGGTGCGCTATCGGTTCTTGTCTTTAGAGATCGCCATCGCCCGCTATTGCCCACCTTAAATGAAGCGATATGGGCATGTTTTTGTTCGTTTTGCGTGTTACGCCACAAAGGATGTAGTGCCACATTATAAAATACATGCATAGCATGTTTCTTGTGTCTTTTCTCCACGACAAAAAAGAAGCTTTGTCGGTGGTACGCGGCCATGGTAAAAAACAGTAAAGTGGTATACGCAGTCAGTAAAAGGTTAAGAACCACTGATATAGACTATAAAGGATAAGACGTTTATGCATGTGTTGTATACAAAAGTATACCTTCGTTGTAGATCAGGGCAGTGCAACATTTTTTGTCGGCGGGCCATATAATCAACTTCAGACATCTAGCTGGGCCACACAAAATTCAATTTTTCCACGTACACAACCAATTAAATAATTCTCACAATGAAAAATGTTATATACATTTATCATTTTAGTGGGACGAGTTCAATTACAAGTTTTTGCACATTATGTTAATATCAGCTTTAAGGTTGATGCGGTTATCGCATAGCCTCACACTAATGAAGATATCGGGCAAAACCTCGAAAGATTCAACGCAGCGACAAAAGAAAAAAACATTATGTATTTTACCCATGTGAGCGCCTTTTAAACAAAAACTGTCGGATGAGGATTTTATGCTTGATGAGAAAAATCTGAGTGCTGGCAAGGGTCACACTAAACAGTGGTTCCCAACCTTTTACTGACCGCGTAACACTTTACTTTTTTTTACTCTGTCGCGTACTACTGAAAATGCCCAAAAAAATATACTTATTTTGAGAGTGTTTTGATGTGTTGGAATTTATAAGCTGGTTTACGTGGTTGAAAACCCTCATTTTGATTAAAATGAATCAACCATGTGCCGCTTATAGGCACTGATAGCTTAGTTTAGATTAGTCTATCGCAGCATTTGCGATATTCATTTTTGATTACAGCAACTAAATTAATACTTCTTTGAAGACATAATGACAATTAAGATATTTAATTTACAACTATTTTTTGAAACGCAACTGAATCTGAAAAATAACATGCAAAACTACAAAAACGAGACAATGTTTACTGATTGTTGCTGGTTACCGAAATAAACAAGGAAATTGATGCCCGGGGAAACATTCATAAAGGCAAAAGTTAATTGTTGCAATAATTCAAGGCTGCTCGCGTTACACTAGATCATCTTCCGCGTACTACTATGAGAACAACTGCACTAAAAACTTGCCGCCTGTTGGACACCCCTGTTGTAGACAATTTAGATAACGATTTAGATATTGACGATCTTTGTAAAATGACAATGTCATGAGGGATTATACCATGTTATATGTTTATGATGATTGGTTCGACGTTAGGGGAAAACTTCAAATCAATTCTTTCGTATACCGAAAATGGTAGGATATAAAAACTTTTGAGTTGACATTTGACAAGCATGGCTCGAGGAAGCTAGAATATAACATCACTAATTGAGTAAAAGATTGCCGTATCGTTTTTATTGATTTTTACGCCGAAAAGAATAATACGGGTTTGAAGGTATTTAAAGTTTGCAATTATTTGAGGATTCAAATCGATTTTTGTCTAGGCAGGTATTTATGTACCTTGCAACCATCACCAAAGTATAAACTTTGTAGCAACGTAATACATACGACAAAGGAGAGTCAGATTTATAAAAATTTCAAGATATTCCAAATACTGTTGTATTTCAATATTATAGGATTTTTGAGGCATAGATTGCGCTATATTTCTAGTTTATGAACCGTATCTTTCTTTAGTAGCTTATTTCAACCAATATTGACTCTGTTGATCTAAAGTCTAAACGTTTCGCCTAAAGTTTTGTGCTAGAAGTGTTTACAGCTTCGTGGAAGTAAGTACCATTTGAATTATTCTACTGTTCGCCTTTTGTTATTATGTTTCAAGACGAGTAGACGAATGTATGGCGGAGGATCAATAAATATTCCACAACGTGTCTGCAGCTAGGGTTTTGTTTTTTATCAATTCTAAAAAAAAAGTCCGTTTTAAAACAAGGGCTTGTTTTAAATCAATTTTTTTCTGTATCTTTTGTATTTTTTATTGAAATACCCCTTCCATCGCCGTAAAACTACACTAAAATGGCTTCACACGCTGCCGGAATAATAATTTCAAAAATGTAAGAAAAAATTCTTGCTTTGACTTTCACCGCGTAACTTTATCGCCAAGTTAGTACATACACCAAAGTCATAAGATTTTAACAAAATATTTATCTAAGATATCAGGTAGACGTTTCGAGTAAAAAAAGCCAAGAAAAATCATGAAACATATAGCTCACGGGCTTACTTTCTTCATAAAATAAAAGCTTTATTATGGTAAAGACTGTTCAGTTAATTTAAATTACCATACTTTGTTTTTAGGGTTAAAGGGATAGAGTTCAAAGTTATAGAAATTCTTTTATTCAGCCGCATTTTTAATTTTTTTCATCTTCTAAACGATAAATATTTGGAAT